ATCGCACTTTAAATCTAATCGAAAAGTGTTGTCAACAACGGGTTCTTTGGCATTATCGGGGGGGATCCGGGACCACCAACTTGTTTTTATCAGCATCCAATTTTTGTCATATAAATAAAGGAAATTTTACAACATTTATATTGAATCTGAAACATGATCTCCTCTTTTTTAAGAATTCTTCCCAGTTTTTAGATACTCCTGCGTCCGAGATATAAATAAATTTTCTATCAAAATTTTGAAAATAATTTTTGTATTAAGTATCAAATCTATCCAAATATTAATTACTTTTATTATTGATATTTTTACTTATTTATTAATTTAAAAGTAATATTAATTAAACTAGTAGGAATTTTTGGGCTATCAGGAATAATTACCCCCGCGACACTGCCAAAGAGCCTTTTCTGATGATTTTCTATGCTTTCTCGTGGTCAGTTGTGTGAAAATGTTGCATATTTTTATACTCCCCTGGTCTACGATTTTTGAGGAATGCATCGATTGCATTCCAGTGCCGATCTCGTTTTTGAAGTTTATTTTTTTGCGTACGGATTTTCCGGCATCTACCGTAATCACCGATTTCGGGCAACAAGCACGGATTTTTGGGGAATTCAGCAGGAATTCCGGGCGAATGTCGCGATTGAGGAAAAATAGAATGTACATGTTGCCAAACTCATGAAACATTTCATTTCAGGCGAACTTCGGTTTTTTCGTTTCGTGCGAAAATTCCAGGTAGGTTTTTCACCCCATTTATTGCTTACAAAAGGGGAATGAAGCGACAACAAATAGAGGGCCAATAGCGGAGTTCTCGCCCAGCTCAAGCTCGCGGTAAACAAATGAAATGTTTCAACCAGTTGCGGTGTTTGAGCGAATCTTCAAAAATCAATTCCTTCCCTCCATTTTCATTATGCGAAACTGACTGATTTAAGCTAGAGCTTGGCATTTAAAATTCGTGAAGAACCTTTATCGGAATCTGACTCCTTCGCGCGATGGATTTTCACTCTCAGAATTTGTTGAAACATTTCATGTCAACTGAATTCCGTTCTTCGTTTCGTGCGAAAATTCCAGCTAGATTTTTCGAGGCTATCACGTTTTTCACTCATCGCTTATAACAAGCAAAATAACGCCGATCAGAAATAGAGGAGATCAGCGGGGGTTTTCACCCAGATAAAGCTCGCGGTAAACAAATGAAATGTTTCAACCAATTGCGGTGATTGAGCGAATCTTCAAAAATCAATTCCTTCCCTCCATTTTCATTATGCAAAATTCACTGATTGAAGCTAAAGCTTAGCATCGAAAATTCGCCGAAAATCGGAATCTGGCACCTTCCCATGATTAAGGGTATCTGACTCCTTGGCATTTGCCATGTAATTCCATCTTCACGATTCATTGAAACATTTTCATTTCACGCGAAGTTCCTTATTTGCCTCGTGCAAAACTTCCAGGTCGATTTTTGATGGCTACCAGGTTTTTCACCTGTCGCTTAAAACAAGCAAAATAACGCCGATCAGAAATAGAGGAGATCAGCCGAGTTTTTATCGAGATCAGGCTCCCGGGAAGCCACAGAATGTTTCAAGTAATTGTGGTGTTTGAGAGAGTCTCCAAAAATTAATTCCTTCCCACCATCTTCACGGTGCAAAATTTACTGAATTCAGTAAAAGCTTAGGATTTAAAATTCGTGGAAAATCCTTCCGGCGTCCGGCGGACTCTTTAGCGTCCGTTGGGTCCGCGTTCGGACGCGAGGGACGCTGACGGACTTTCGATCATCATGACCAACCCGGGTCCCCAGAAGGGCCGACGGGGGACTACTATCGACGTAATTCAGATTACGAATTCGTAACTTTTATGTAAAGCGTAATTTCGGCGCAGGACAGAACGAGAAACCCCGGAAACGGCCTGTCGAAGGCCCCGCAGGGTATTTGAGGGCCGGGTCGGTTGGCGCCATGGTGTACTGGTTAGCACGCTGGGCTGTTGGGTAAGCCATCACTGGTTCGATTCCCCTCCGCTGCAAAATTCTTTGCTTTTTTGCCAACGGCATCTTTCCAGGGGCCTTTAAAGGACGCGTTCAGGGGTGTTTTTTTAAAAAAAAAGCAAAGATTTATGCCGCGGCCGGGGGTCGAACCCCGGGCCCCCGCTCGGGAGGCGTGGATGGATACCATTCAGCCATAGCTACAACCTGGCGAGGGGGTGAGGGGCGCCCCACGCCGCAAAGGAGGGAAATTCCTGCCACGGCACTGGCAGGCTGTGCGCGCGGTCGCTACGTCCGTAGGGTGTACACGTTGGGACGAGTACACGGCTCTCGGATATCTTTAGTCGTGCAGAGCTGTCAATGGCACTAAAATGTAGCTCTTGCTCTGGAGAAACCGACCAAAGTGCATCTGAATCGAAAAACTAGCGAAAAAGCTAATATTTTAGTCTAATAGTTTTAGTCTACTTGCACAAAATTTCTAACAACTTTTGGCGTCAGAAAACAACATTCTTCTAGTAATTCGATCAGGGCGAACATTTTCAGATACTCCGCGCATTAATAGGACGCACGGCTGAAAGTTGGGGGGAGGGGGTTACGGTAGTTTCCCTGGCGCGCGTAGCGCGGCAGCGGCGTCGCGCCCGACTGCCGTGTGTCTCTTTACGCAGTTCTGCTAGTTTGGCTGGGTTATTTGGGGCGCAAAGGCCTTGCGGCTAAACTCCAGATAACCCCCCAGCCGACCCCCACCTACCGTATCTCGGCACCTGTTCATCTACAGGTGTGTAAAGTATACCAACATACTCGCCACAGCAAGACGAACATTTTGGTATACTTTACACACCTGTAGATGAACAGGGAGCCGAGATACAAAAGTTGGGAGCCGGCTGGGGGGGGGGGGTTATCCTATCCTATAAGCAAGAAAAGTATGTTTGTTTTCTGTACAGCCGATTTCTCGGCCGTCAGGCCGAATTTCGAGCTGAGTTTTGGCATAGAGGTCGAGAAACACATTTGTCAGTGATACATTTTTCGGATTTTGCAAAATTTTTGAAAACAAAGTTTCATACGGATTTTTCCCGCCTTGCATATGAATTATTACCATAAGGTGGCACTTTGAATATTTGGACCTGTGGTTCATGTCTGGGAATGCCAATCACTCTTCTATCCTCCCCCACCGGTGGCACCACGTTGCCAGTAGATGGACGACAAGGTATATTTGCGTACTTGACGGCACTCCGTGGCAGGACATCACCGCGTTCGTCGACTCGAGCCAATGGGCGTTCCGGACATGGGAGGCTATTGACGCCACCGTCAGATCAATCTTCCGCACAGTAAGGGATTTATCTGATTAAAAGCTCGTCAATCTAACCGCTAACAATCGAGAACCCAATTTGGGTAAGACTCCAGAAACCCCCCAGCCGTCACCCAACTTTTGTATTTCGGCTCCCTGCTCATCTATAGGTGTGTAAAGTATACCAAAATGTTCGTCTTGCTCTGGCGAGTATTTTGGTGTACTTTACACAGCAGTAGATGAACAGGCAGCCGAGATACGGTAGGTGGGGGTCGACTGGGGGTGGGGGGGTATCTGGAGTTTAGCCCCCAATTTGTTTAGGATGAGGCCCACTGCGTCATGCTGCGTGAGTTCCCCGCCGCCCTTCAGATGAAGGTCCATGAGGTGGTGGCCAGCTGTCACGCGTTTTTGACGTAAATTTAGGTTGGATCGGTGCAACACGCCCTCAATGACGTTGAGGCAAACCTCGCCTTTCACCGCGTCCAGAAGCACCAGTTGACGGTAGATTGTTTGGTGCTGGACTGCTAGCGGGGGACCATTTTTTGTTTTCCCCCAATTTTCTTTTTCCACCTTATCATGATATATTATGTGTTTTTGTAGTGTTTTTAGTAGTTTTTGATTGCTAGAAAATTATCAAAAATATATAAATCCCGAAAATTGTCCGCTTTGATGATTTTCATCCATTTTTGACCAAAAGTCAAACACACTCGCAAAATTTTTGGTTTTATAATGTTTTTATATCTAAAAACTTTTTAAACTGCTATAAAAATGGTTTGATGGTTGGCTATAAAGCCGTAGAGAATTACAGGGGAAATTTGGTTCCCCCCCCGGTAACAGTCCAGAACCGGGTTTTTTTTTGAAATTCGGGTCCGTCATATGCACCCGCGACTGATGAATTTAATTAAATAATTTAGGAAAACGCTGCCGCTACTGCTCCCCCTTCTGCTTCTACCCCACCTCCCGGGCCGACCATCGAGGAGTCCATTGCGGTGTGTTTTTCTAAGATCAAGTCCCACTGGTTTAAATCCAGGGTCCCCAAACCCCCCTAGCCGGCCGCAGACGGGTCCGATTTTTACGATTTAGGTATCTATCGAAAGCTCTCGGAAAGGCGCGTCCAGCACGTCTTTCCGAATCTCAAATTTTTGACATTCTTCTGATAGTTACTAACGTTTGCATGAATCTTCGAAGCTTTTTCCCATGCAAGTGTTTTCAAAAAAAAACCCATTTTCCAAATGTGTACTTTTTTCCTGGCAGCCCAAGGCCGCCTTTTTGGAAGACATTTGAGAAAACACGGCCTGGATGGGACTGAAGCCTATGAAACTTTGCACAAAATTGCGTAATTTACGCCCAAAAAACGATGAAAATCGGGTTAAAATTGTAGGAATTTTGCAATTCGGAGATAACATATCTCCTCAGCTTGTCGAGAGCTTTCGATAGATACCTAAATCGTCAAAA